GCCTCTCCCTCTGTCCATGCCCCCGCCAGCGTCTCCTCCACCCACTTTCACCCCCACAGTCCATTCTCCCCAGAACAACCAGGGAGCAGGAAGCTGGTGGCCTCTCCCCAGAGGAGAGTAGAGCCCCCGCCTGTGGCTGATGGGCTCCTCCCTGTCCGCCTCTCTGCCCATCTCCTACAGAGTCCTCTTCCTGCCAGTACGGCGCCAGCTCTGCCTGTGGGCCTCCGCGCCCAACGTCTGCTCTGCTCTCTTGCTCAGAACACTCCGCCCCAAGGCTACGCCGCTTGGAGGGGTCCTGTTCGTGAGATGGCCTCCCCTGTCAGCCCTTTCCTTCCACTCCAGATGTCTGGGTCAATATATCAGACACCTCCATACCTTCCTCCACACTTCTTAGCTCTCCTCTGTAATTTCTTCTTCTTTTTTTTAAGATTTTATTTATTTATTTGACAGGGACAAAGATAGTGAGAGCAGGAACACAAGCAGGGGCAGTGGGAGAGGGAGAAGCAGGCCTCCCACCGAGCAGGGAGCCCAACGCGGGGCTCGATCCCAGGACCCCGGGACCATGACCTGAGCCGAAGGCAGACACTTAACAACTGAGCCACCCAGGCGCCCTCTCCTCTGTAATTTCTGTTCGCCATGCAATCTGGTGAATTTGTCCAGGTTTGTCTTCTGCTTCGCCAATTTCGCCTTCAGCAGCACCTAATCTGCTATTGTTACCCATCCACTGAACCTTTCAAACTCTCCTGTCTCAGGACACCCTGGTCATACTCCTCCCGTCTGCAAGTACAATGTTTCTGTGTGTAGTTGACCCATTCATATTCTCTGCCTGGGAGAATGTAAGCTCCACAAGGGTGACAACTGTCCTCCGTTTTCTTTCCTGTGTTCTCAGGGTTTGAAACTGGCTCGATCATCATTTATTAAGTGAACAAATGAGCAAATATCTGAACCTCTGGACTCAACCCTGTGACGGTTACTTGGATGTGCTGGCTGGGTAGCCCCTGAGGGAACTGGTAGCTTCTGTAGCAGTGAGTCAGCAGCAGTGCGTAACGGGGTTGGAATACCAACAGATGGATCATTGATAGTGCTCTTAAGGTGAGTCCACACACACCCGCTGCCACACTCGTGTACCAAGTGCCACACCCCTGCTCCAGTCCTCCTGGAGCATCTCAGACATGCTCCAGGGGCTAGCAGCCCGACTTCCCATTCACGCCATCCCCTGTGTACCTGCCCTTCATCAGGAGGCTGCCTGGGTCCCTGGAGACCCCTGTTCCTCTCCCTGCAGGAGGCCTGCCTCCCTGGCCACTCCTGGAGGCCTGCTGTGCCTTCTGTGCAGGGAGTTTCTGTGCCTACCTCAGCAATGGGGGCTCGGGCACACCGCTGTTCCGTCCAGCACAGTGGTTGTGACACAGGCCACATGCAGGAGTTTCAGAGTCCTTCTGCCAGGAGCAGAGACTAGACAAGCACTGGTTCCAGCAAGGGCGGCCTCCTCAGCCTGGCTCCTGGAAGGAAGAGAAGGCCAGCAAAGCCGCAGGCTGGAACAGGCAGAGGCCATGCAGCTGACGGGTGCCTGGGCCCTATAGGAGGCCCCAGCCACCTACCTGACAGTCTGAGCCGCCCCCCCCCCCATTCAGTGCACTGGAGTGTTCCAGCCTCCCCATGTGAGCACAGCAGAGGTTTGGCACCTCTGTTGCCAACTGTGCCTGTGAGCCTGAAGTTTTCCTGGTGGGAAGATGCATGCCCGGTTCCTGGACTGAGGGAACAGGAACACCCACAGGGGACTCTTGCCAGCAGGGGCCACACCTGCCTGGTGCCTCATCATGTCCCCACACCTGGGGTGTATAATCCTAAGTCAGGCTGAATAGATGAATGAGTTTCCAAAGAGCCAGAGGTCCATACTGCCCAACTAGAAATGCCAGAGCCCCGACCTGCAGGCAGAGGGGCTCTCGGTGATGGTGGGGGGGCCCATGAAAGGGGCTTTGAGCCTGACCTCCTCCGACCTGCAACACAGCAGGAGTCCATTGCACCAGCTGGAAACCTGAGGCTTTAATTCATTTAAAAAAATGGTGGCAGGCCCAGAAAAGTCTGGCCAGACTGTCAGGTCCTCAGGAAAGGTCGTCATGAAGCCCTTCTGGGGCTCTGGGGTTCTGGACAACCCCTCCTCCGGGATTCCTCCCCAACCACACCCAGCCGCCCCAGTTGTCCAGAGAAGTTCCTCTTGAACTTAGTTCCTGCTTTATTTTTTTTTAAAGATTTTATTTATTTATTTGACAGAGAGAGAGACAGCGAGAGCAGGAACACAAGCAGGGGAGAGGGTCAGAGGGAGAAGTAGGCTTCCCGCCGAGCAGGGAGCCCGATGTGGGACTCGATCCCAGGACCCTGGGATCATGACCTGAGCCGGAGGCAGACGCTTAACGACTGAGCCACCCAGGCACCCTTAGTTCCTGCTTTAAAGAACAACCGTCAGAAAACAGATGTGCTTCCAACATTTTGTGTGTGTGTGTGTGTGTGTGTGTGTGTGTGTGTGTGTGTGTGTGACATCATGCCAGGCTTCTATAAAGGGGTGTCCTCCCAGCTCTCAAGGCACTCATCCTGGGATATTCCACAAGTGGAAGATGAACATAGACTCATTTTCAACTATAGAGAATGACAATGCAAATAACAGGTTCTGGCCAAAAACGTAACTCTGATCATCACTGTAGAAAATCTGGAAAACACGGAAGGCCACAATCTCATCCCCACTAACACTTTGGTGTTCACATAGCACCACTTTAAAAAACAGAACAGACAGCGTCATGGGAAGAGTGCACGGGGTGGGGTGGGGGGTGTGCTGTCTCTGCCTCCCTGACTTGAAGAAGTATTTAAGAATTTCCACCATGATGGTCACCTGGGGTGGCTCTGGGCCCGACTGTGGGACACACACCTGGGCACCTCCCCTTAGCAGCTGCATAATGTGTGTGCCTTAGGTTCTTCAGCGGTCAAGGGGGAATGCGGACGGAGCGTCAGGTCTGGGAAGGGCTCGCGATGCCGGCTGCTACACAGGAGGTGCCCGGCTCTCCTAGAATGGGCGCCGGTGTCAAGCCTCCATGTCCTTGGCGTGGTCACCCATGTTTCCTCACGTGGCCCCCCGTTGTACTCCTTGCCTAGGCGCGCTGCTGACACACACAGACGTGGAGTGTCGGGCAGCCCATCCAGCCGACTGCCCCGCAGCGCCGTGCGCCGAACGCCGAACGCCGTCAATGGCTGGCTGTTTCTGCCCCGCCACCAAAGGCAGCCTGTCATCACAAGGGACAGCTGCGTGCTCCCTGAGCATCGTCCTGTCCCCCTCCCCCCCACCTCATAGGTAGGAGACCCCCAGGCGCTCTGTCTGGCGGGGCCACCTCTCAGTGCACCATTACTCGGTCGGCTGGCTGAGGACACACAAGCCCTCGAGGCTTCGAGGCTTCGGCTGTGCCACCCCACAGGGGCGGGAGCAAGTGGGAAACACAGACCCTCTTGTTCTCTCCCGAATGTGGCCTGGCTGTTGGTAGCTGCAGATAGGGGGCCGCAGCTGGAGCTGGAGGTCTGGCTCTCACAGGGAGGGAGCAGCATGGGGTCCCCTGCCGGACACAGCGGCACCCCAGATGGGAAGAAAGAGGGTTTGCTTGGACTGGACTTGTTTCAAGAAAACTACTTGTAGACAACAAAACGCAGGGACAGAAAGAGAAGCAACTGTGTAAGAGTGTGGATACAAAGAAACAGAAGGGATGCCAGGAAAGCTTTGCTACATCCCAGAGCAGCATCTGGTGACTGACCAGAACCACCACCAAAAGGATGGGGCAGGACACTCCTCCTTGGGCCCCCAAATCTAGATGGCCTTTCTTGCGACCTTTCCCCACCTTCGCTGCCCCACAGGCCCAGTGGGTCGCCCTGGTCACGGTCTCCTACCGGCCTGGGTCCGCAAGTGCCCCGCGAGCCCCAGGGTCAGGAGCCGCCCCTGCCCCGGACGTTGTTCTCCATTTTCTCCTGTCCAGAACGCACAGGGGCACTGCTGGGTAGTAAGGGGGCTCGGGCCGGGAGAGCGCGCTGCCAAGCGGACCAGCCGGCCTAGGATCAGCTCCATACGCCGGGCCAGTCGCAGCGCCCCAGCGCCCCCGAAGGCAGGACCCCCTGGCGGGCTAGGCGCCCTGTACGCCCCAGCCGGAGTCCGCCAGGGCCCTGCGGGGGGCGAGGGACATTGGAGGCCCGCGGGGTGGGCGCGGGGGCGCACGGAGAGTTCGCGGGGTGGGAGAGCCTCCAGCGGACAGGAGGCCCGGTGCGCTAGGGCGTCGGTACTGGGGACTCCGGGGGCAGGGGCAGTGGGCGGGGGGGTGGGGACGCGCGGAGGCCCCGGGGTCGGTGCGTGGGGACACGAGGCACACCGGGCGACAATGAGTGCCCCTGGGGGGCGCCGCGGATACGCGAGTGCGCGGGGCTGGGGTGCTGGGCGGGTGCGGGCGGCCGGGGACGCGGGAACGCGTGG